TCTAATAAGCTAGAACAGGTAATTAAATTGCAGTATGATACTTAGAACAAAAGATAAATAAAAGCAAATATTAAAGAAGGCATTCTGGATATAGGTGATAACTTACATAGTTATGGGTAGCAGAATCCATGTTTGTGAATAGGCCAGTTTATTTACAACATGGAATGAATATAAGCAAGAAATGGCACCTGAAATTTGTGTGGATTGAATGGGTGGGTATATGTATAGCAGCTTCTCTCTGTCAAGGCATAAATAACCTTATGACTGCATTTCAAAGATTTTTCTACAAAACCAGTTAGTCTTTGTCCTCAAGTTTAAAAAGTCTGCACTTATTAGGATCAATAATAACTGAGACCCACTTGTAGAGAAGTTTGGAGAAGGGAGATAATGAGCTCCAGTTGAGACATGTTGAGTGCTTTGGAGATAATGACGTCCACATGTCAAGTTGGCAGTTGAATTTGAAGGCCTAGAAATCAACAGGGATGACTGTGCTGGAATGCAAATTTGGGACTGTGTCAATTGGAAAAATATCCATGTTCTTCTGTATTGTGAAGATTTGGTGGCACATTAAATGACATGACATTGCTCTGGATGATTATAAAACTGACATTGTAATCATGAGTAATAATGAGCTGTTTTTTTCTACATCATATCTCTGCTGTTGACTCTTGAAATATTATTTGAGGGACACCTGGGTGGCTCAGTTGGTGAAGTGTCTGCCTTTGGCTCAGGTCATGATCTTGGGATCCTGGGATTGAGCCCTTGTCGGGCTCCCTGCTCAGTGGGGAGTCTGCTTCTCTCCCTCTGCCCCTCCTCTTCAGCCCCCCTCCCCGCTTGTGCTTGCTCTCAGTCTCTCAGATAAATAAGTAAAATCTTAAAATATATATATATATATATAATTTGAAATGTAACTGTAGAAAGAAATCAATACCTTGACCAAAGTTTCTAAGAGATACACCATTTTTGATGTATATCCATTTGCCATCCATCCTCTCTCCTTCGTTTCAACCTTTTATTTGTCCCAAATTATTTATTGAAGTGAGAAAGTTAGGGTGTAGATTCTTAATGTAGCTATTGGGTACAGAAGTATGTACTCTAATCCTACGGTAATTTCTTACTTGTTTTTTTATGACTGAAAGAGAACATCTATGGATAGGTTTTATTGACTTCTATAGTAATTGCCAATTCCATATTGCCTTTATTATCCATTACAGAAACAGAAAACGAACACAGGGAGAAATTGTTTGTATTGAATAATTACTAGGCTTAAAACTCTCACTCTTGAAGGAATTTTCTTAACTCTACCTGAGTTTAAAATGGACTACAATTGGATAAATCTGGCTTCTGGGTAGAATGATCTTAAAAGCTTTTTTTTAAAAATCAAGTTTGATAATGTTCACTTTATGAAGTCTGAGGATGAAAACATGGGTCCCCCCACCCCCACCCCCACTGGAGATTCTTGGTATTTATTCCTTATTGCTACCTTGTGTGCTTATGTTGCTGTTAGTTGATTTTTTTTGGTTTTCATCTTCTTTTTCCATTTTGGTGAGAACCCAGTGGGCCCTTTTCATTTGGAAGCTCTTATCCTTCAGTTTCATTTTAAAAGTATGTATTATGTTGATGACTTTTCTCCCTTCGTTTTTCTTTTTCTTGGTAAGACATCTGTCATTTAGTTTCTGGGCCTTTTGAACTAGTCCTCTAATTTTTATACTGTTCTTCACCATTTTCCCCCTGTGTCTTTGCTGCTACTTGGAGGGAGAGTTTCTAAATTTTTCTCTTCTAATATCTCTGTCAAGTTTTCATTTTTACTGTCATATTTTTAGTTTCTCAAGTTCCCTTTTGTGTTTTGAATTTTCTTAACAGCATCCTTTATCTGTTTCAAGGATACAGTGTCTTCTCTTAACTCTCTGCATCTGCAGAGTTTCAAATTTTTCTTCTTTCTGGTCAGTGGTTGCTTTCTTGAGGTTGTTTTCTGTTTGTTGGGCTGGTCAGACTCCCAGAGAAAGGTCTTCCAGTCTCCCTTCCCTAGTGTGTGGGCTGACTGCCCTCACTCTAGATGAGGAGTGGGGTAGAAGGCTGGACACCTCAGCCTTCAGTATGTAAGTGATCCTATGAACTGCCCCTCAAAACCCAGTTCTCGGGGCACCGGGTGGCTCAGTCAGTTAAGTGTCTGCCTTCAGCTCAGGTCACAATCCCAGGGTCCTGGGATTGAGCCCTGCATCAGGCTTCCTGCTCAGCAAGGAGTCTGCTGCTCCTTTTTCCTTCTGCCTCCTACCCCCTGCTCATGCTCATGCTCTGTCTCTCTCTTTCAAATAAATAAATAAAATAAATAAATAAATAAATAAATAATAAAATCTTTAAAAAAAAAACCCAGTTCTGTAAAATGAACTCTTTAGGAATATATTTCTTATCTTTTGCTGGGAATAATGGAATGCCAGCTATCTGGGGAGAGGAGAGGTGGAGATTGTCAGCTGCTCCTTAATGAGAATTCAACCAGTCTTCTAGTGTTAGCCCACCTTTACCCCTACTACTGAGGAAATGCTGCCATTTCCTCAGTTTTTTTCCTGAGGGATGGGATGGGGTGGCATGGGGGTGGTCTACAGCAGAAATTGGTCCGTTTTCACCTGGGGTTAGCTAAATCCCTGACTGCTTAGCCCATATGTTTTGTAGTTTCTAAATTGTTTTCTTTCCCATTTTCTTCTTCCTTATGACATAGTTTTGGACATTTTAAACTCTCTACAGTATTCTAGAATTTTAGGAGGGAGTGAAAGTACATGATTACAATAATTTCACCATCTTTGTCTACAAGTTTTTGTTCTTTTTTAAGTGTTTTAAAAACTAAACAAAACCCTTCATTTTGAAGCAAACATTAGGATAGGTATAACTGTCTTTTCAGTTTTTAACTGGCACTTCAGTTATTGAATTAATTAGGAGTATATATTTACCAAGGTGTTTTACAGCTTAAAAATTTATTCAATAAATTCAGTAAAGCACAATGTTAAATTATACTTTAACTTCATTCTCTGTTCCTATGATGCAAATATCTCTTTCTTTTTAAATTCTTTGGCAAATTTTTGTCTTTCCATCTATAAAAGTTTCTGTGTTAAGTCACTTATGATTTTAGTTTTTATTTTTACACCTTCCTAAATATTTTGGATTATAAATGTCCCTCAGTTATCACTGTATTAGTATCTGTATTCGTGTCTCACATATATGTGTGTGCGCACGCACGCGCTCACACACACACACACACACACACTAGCTTGTAGTGTCTACTAATTATAACAATTCTAGGTTAGTTTGATTGGTTTTTCTTCTCATTTATGTTGTATTTTCCTGCTTCTTTTCATGCCTGTTAATTTCTGATTAGATGCCAAATAGTGTGACACCTTTTTGGGTGCATGTCTCCTATTCCTGTAAGTATTCTTGGGCTTTGTTCTGGGACACAGTTTAAGTTAGAAACACTTTTCATCCTTTTAGGTCTTGCTTTTAAGATTTACTTAGGCAGAATAGTGCTCAGACCAGGTTTAATTATTTCCCATTACTGAGGCAAGACCTTCTATTTACTTTACCCAGTGTCTGTGAATCATGAAGTCTTTTCACTCTGGCTCTCTGTGAAGAACCCAGCACTTTTACTGAGTCCTGTGGCTGGTTCTTTCTCCAGCCTCTGGTATTTCCTCTTTTACACATGCACTGACTAGTGTTCAGCTGAGTGTTTGAGTGGACCTTGTGCAGATCTCCAGAATTCTTTCAGTATAGCTCTTTCTAGTACTCTTGTCTGAACTCTAGGTGTGTTGGTCTACCTGGATTTTTAGCTTAGTCACCTCAACCCAGAGAGGCAGTCTGGCACCCTTCCCGGGGCTGCAGCCTGGAGACTCCCAAGCCAGAGAGCTGAAGTAATCCTGGGCTTTACTTCATTGATTGGCCATCTCTCAGCCTCACTGTCTTCATTACCTGTTGTTCACAGGCTTGAGAACTGTCATTTCTTGTGTTTAGCCCATTTGTGTTTTGTGTTTTTTGTTTGTTTATTTGGTTTTTTTTTGGTTGGTTCAGGCAGGAGAGTGAATCTTGTCCATGTTATTTTTATCTTGGCTGGAAGCAGAAGTCCCTTACTCATGAATATAGACACACTTTTTTAGGTTCACCAAAAAATATGAGTCATTTTATTAGATCTATCTACCAAAAAAATGATAAATAAAAAAATACGAATTCTGGTGAAAAAAATATTGTTAACATTTTTCAACATAAAAATTAAAATCTGTATTTAAAAATTGATTTTCCTTGCCACAGTAGAGGTATGTGTATATACATTTTATGTTCTTTGGCATACAGAGAACCCTGAGGTTCTCAACTTTTTAACTCATTGATACCCTAGTTTCTCATTTTTTCATGGTGTCTGTCCCCTAGGCAAAAGAAAATACCTAATAGGTTTTTTTATTAAATAGTTACTTCCAAACAACCTCATTAGTATTTATATAAAAATAACTTAAAGTGAAAAAAATTAAATTTTGTTCATAAATTTTAATTTTTATTCACATCATTTATTAATGGGATCTCTATTTTTCTTGGGTACCATTCAGATTAGCAAACATTAGGGTGCATTTTCATAGTAATGATATTAACAGAAAATACAGGCAGAAACATATACTTGACTATAGAATATATTCCCATTCTTAAAAGGCTAAGGTCCATATATTTTCCTTAGCATGAGCCCTGCAAACATGTAAGTTGTAGTAGAGAGCTGTTTTATTTTGTTAGTTCTATTAATTTATGCCAGTTTTTTATCTCCTTTGATTGGAATCTCACAATTTTTTTTTAAGGTTTATTTAAATCCAGTTAATTAACATACAGTGTATTATTACTTTCAGAGGTAGAGTTCAGGGATTCATCATAGCAAAATGATGCAAACATAGCTTAAATAATTGGCAACAGGTTAGTATTAAGAAAGATAAACTCTCTTTGAGAAGAAAAATTGGTAATGTGTTTTGCAAATTTTTTAGGAGGAGCAGAACAGAGGCAAGCCTAATTGGGAGCATCTCAATGAAGATTTACATGTACTGATCACTGTGGAAGATGCTCAAAACAGAGCAGAGATCAAACTGAAGAGAGCCGTTGAGGAAGTGAAGAAATTACTGGTACCTGCAGTAAGTAATAATTTCCAAATCTTTCGATTTGGGGCCCAACCCCTTTTTCCATTTAATTTTTTTTAAATTACTGTAATGTTTATGTTAATAAAGAATAGGTTATTTATTTTTTAGAAATTTTATTTAACCTCAAAACATAAAAATAATTTATAACTCATTTACTGTAGTGTAATTGGCAAACATAGACATTGCTCAGATCCTAAAATGGGAAAGCCTGTTTACTTTGGGGGAAGGAAATGTTGTGAGGGGAGCAAACTCAATTGGTGTCCTACTTTCCAAAGGTATTATTATTATTGCATCACTCTATTATAGGGTAAGAAAGTAGGTGCATTATCGTTAGGGTGATGAAAGCTTTATTTTTTTGGGGGGGGGAGCAATTTCTCATTGTAAGCAGGTAATGAGTGTACAGAAAAGTCTGTACAACTAATATTTATGTCGGAGGACCTGTGTTAGTAAGAGCACATTGTTTGAGTTGCCTGTGGGTTCCAGGTACCCTCCTGGCATGTCCCTGTTTCACATAGAAAAATTTCTGTTCCATAGTGAAATTTTCCCATAATATGATAAAATTTTCTTTTAGGAAAATAGGAGCTAACTTTTGCTGATCTGTCAGGCACCATTCTGAGTACTTTTCACACTTCATTTCATTTAATGTTTTTTTCTAAGATACTAAAAACTATTTAAGTTCATATTTAGGGCTCTTAGGTAAAACACTGAAAGTAATTTTGGAGGGTGAAGTCTCATAAAGAAATGACCCCAGGGGCGCCTGGGTGGCTCAGTTGGTTGGGCGACTGCCTTCGGCTCAGGTCATGATCCTGGAGTCCCGGGATCGAGTCCCGCATCGGGCTCCCTGCTCGGCAGGGAGTCTGCTGCTCCCTCTGACCTTCCTCTCTCTCATGCTCTCTCTCAAATAAATAAATAAAATCTTTAAAAAAAAAAAAAAGAAATGACCCCAAACACCTTTGTTCTCATCCTCCCTCCCTTCCATCCTCCATCTCCCCCTCCCTCCCCAGCCCCCTTCTTTTTGTCTTTTCCTCATTATTAAACAACCCTTTAGTAACTCCTCATTTAGAAATGATGATTGCACTCACTCCCAGAGTATTATTTTTTCCATGGAAAATGAAAAATAAATTACTACTATTTTCAGAGTCATTTTAAAAATATTTTTTATGTTGGTAAAAATGATAGAAATGTGGATCCTGATTTGCTGTTGAAAAAACTAGGAATACTGTTAATATTGTCAAACAAAAATTTATTGACATTTACATAAATGAGTATGGCGTCTATTGTTCTTTATTCCCCAGATAATCTATTCTATAAATAAACTTACAAGCTATAAACATTTTTCATTTAGTGGACAAAACTAACTACTTGGAAGAAAAGAATTTCACATAACTTTTGTTCAGTAGATCTTATGAACAGATTAAATTATAAACTAAAATATATAGTTGTATACTATTGAACCATATAGTCTTCCTCCTTTTCCTTAATAATTATGCAGTTTTGAAAGGCTATAAAGAAAAGGGCTTTTTTCTAAGTATATTGGACTATTAGTCCCATGATCAGAAAGTTATTTAACATTACTTTTATTGCTGTATATAACTGAAAATGCTCAGCTCACGTAATACTAAGTACATAAGTTCACCTAATATAGCAAATAGACTGGGCGTCTGATAATTAAAGCTCTTACTGACCTATTATTTTATTCCAGCCATTCTGTGAACTACTTCAGTTCTCAAAGTTATTAACCTGGGAAAGAGCATCATATTAGAAGCTGTGTTAGTAACTAGCTATGTGTCTTTCATAGAGTTAGTAAATTTCTGTCTGTTTCATCATTTACAAAATGAGAATTGAAGTAAATGACTTTTAAGGACCATTTTGGTTTTCAAGTTGTCTTTGGACAGTAGAATAGATAGTAGTAGATAAAAAATGGCAGAAGCTTTTTTAAAACTTCATACAATTTATATTTTAAAGGCAAAGAGTCCTTTTGATGATAAATCTCTCTCTATGGAAGTACTTTTAGGATTGTTACTAATTACCACCTCTGAAGTAATAAAACTTTCTTAGAATTACAGTTGTAGACTAAAAGTACTTTTAAGATGTGGCCTCAATAAAGTGATTTAACTTTGTAGCAATTTCTTAATCCTGTCCATTTTGTCAGATATGCTTGTTATAACATGGCTGCTATACCTGGGAATTTATTTTCATTAAACTCAACATTATTATACATTTCTGGTGATGGTGCTCTGATAAGCAAAGGTTTAAACAAAACAGAAGCTTTACAATCCTGAAGTTATCAAGTGATTTGGGCTTTTACTTATAAGTTCTTGGGAGACAGAATTACATCGTATTTGAAAGCTGACTTCTGGATTTGAATCCCATCTTTGTGGCTTTTTCTCTCTCCCTTTTCTCATCTGTAAGATTGGAACATCACTGAACTCTCATGTCATTATTGTGAAATTAGATAATACATGGAGAATGCTTAGCATAATACCTCTGTTTCATAAAAGTTTGCTGTAGTTTTTTGATGCTAAATAATATTGTTTTATAATTGTATAGGTTTACATACTGTTCTTTCTAAGTGCTGATTATAAAATGAATGCATTAATTCAGAATTGGAGAAAATACAAGTTCCTTCTCAACTCATTCTTTTTAAGTAAAATTGGTTTGACCCTTATAAAAAAAATTCACTGTGAGGCTCCTTACAGAACCCTTTAGTTTATTGTTGCTTAAATATTTTCAAAACAGTATTTTTGGATTGAAAATGTGGACCCATCTTGATCTTCTGAAAAAAATTCACATATAAATTCACATATAAATTGATTAATTTGATTGGGTTTTTTCCTGTTCATGTAAAAGTTATAAAGGGAAATGATATGGAGACTAGCATTTATTTTAAAATGTATTATTTAAGGTGCCCTCGTATTAGATTCAGAATTGCAGAAAAGAATTATTGCCGCAACTCAGTTGGATTTGACTGAGTTGAAGGGTTGTCAGAATCACTGCATGAAAGACAACACATTTCTTACCAGCATTTACATTTTGTCTAGCCTCAGATTGTCCCTCCAGTGAGCTGCCAATAGATCTTTTTAATTTGTTTTTATATTACATGAAAACTTTTTGAAACATTTTTGTGGTTTTCGTGTCTCAAAATTTATCTTGAGAATAATGATACTCAAAATTCTGTTGATCATTTCACTCTCAGCGCTTACTTAACATGTCCGTTAACAGTAACTTTCAGTTGTGCCTTTCCTGTCTCTTCATATCCTACATGTGGTTTGGAGTCTCTAGCTGTTATCGGGTGTCCAGAAAAATACCAAATTCAGTCAAGTTTACTTCCTGAATCCCTCAAATATGCTCATGTCCTTTTGCCCTCATTTTCTTTACCCTTATGTCAAGCCAGAGTTACTCAAAACCCCACAGCCAGCATTTGTCCTTGTAGTTTTGGACCCCACAAACCCATCCTTCATAACCTTTACGTGCTTAAAAAAGCCTCTTGGTGGTTCCCTCTTACTCCAAGAGGAGAACGGAGAATTCTTTAACATGGTTTTACAATCGATTTGCCGTAGGTTATCTTTCAGTCTTCATTTTTCACTCCCCACCCCTACCCCAAACCTAAAGTACACACACATAGACACACATACCACACTAGACCCACAGGTTGATTCTGTATTTATTTGATTTCTTGAAACTTCAGTCTTCTCATTTCTGGGCCTTTGAGTTTATTCAATAAATGTTCATTGTGTGCATTTACTGTGTCAGCTGTTGAAGATACAGAGAGAGTAAATCTGACTAGCGAAATGTCTACCGTCTTGAAGCTTACCTTCTGGTTGGGGGGATGGGGCAGCTTGGATTACTGACAATAAACTAAAAGAAATATAAACTATATTAGGTTATACTAAAATGTGAAGGAAAAAAAAAGCAGGAAATCAAGAGCCATGGATTAAGGAAATATTTTATATGAGATTATTAGAGAATGCCTCTTAGAAGGTGACATTTGGGAAAACAAAAAACCTAATTGAAATGTGATGTAATCATTTGGATATCCAAGGGGTTTCCAAGCAAAGAGAACAAAAGTGTGATAGCCCAGAGATATTTTTGAGGTGTGTCGAAGGGGGTCCATTGAGGAGCATAGGGAGCAGGTGGAGAGTGGTGGGAGGTGAAGTTGGGGGAAATGGGGGAGATGGCAGGTTACAGAGGCCTGTAGGCCATGATAAGGATATTAGATTTTAGTCTGACATGAGAAGCTCTTGGAGGAGTTTGAGGAGAGGAATAACACGGTCTAATTTGTATTTTAAAGGATCGTTCTGAATAGAGAACACACTTTGAGGGTGATGGAGAAAGCGGAGATGCCAAGGCACAAGCATTTGTATTTTATGAATGAGGTGAAAGTGCTGTGGGGCTAGTGTTGAAGGGGCTGAGTGGTAGTAGATACGGGATTTATTTCCAAGGTAAAGCTAGCAGGAATTTCGATGGATTGGGTGTTGTGTGTATGTGAAGACTTCAAGGTTTTTACCCTGAGTAATTGGACTTGTTTCCTGTTTATACTGTTAGGGGAGCAGGTTTGAGAGGGAAGTCAAGAAATTGGGTTTGGAAGTGCAAATGTTGAGATACCAAATGTTAAATGGGCGTTTGGTTATAACAATCAGATTAGGTGAGAAGATGGGACTATGTCAAGTTTGAAGTTGTCATCGTATCAAAAGCTTTTAGAACCAGGAGGCTGGATGCTATTATCTAAGAATTGGATAAAGGTGAAGAATAGTCTGGGGACTCAGCTCCAGGTACTTCACCAAATAGAGATCAGGAAGAAGAGGAGGATCCCTCAAAGGAGACCAAAGAGAGGAGCCACTGAGGTTGAGGGAAAACCAGGAACATGGAGTCCTGGAAGCCAAGTGAAGGAGTTTGTTGCTGACGATTGTTCAGTTGAGATAAGAATTGGGAGTTAATCATTGGATTTGGCAAGTAGTGGTCATTGGTGATCTCACCAATTGATTTATTTTTTT